GCTGGACTCAGGCCCTGGAGGGGTGGGGGCTGGGAGTCAGAACTCTTGGGTCCTTTTCTTGGCTCTGCCCCCGATTCCCTGCCTGGCCCTGAATTGGGTTATTCTGGGTTTTGCTTCCTAGATTCTGTCTGTGGCCATTGCCCGGACCCCTGGGTCTGGTTCCAGAGAACCTGTTACTACTTTTCAGAGTCTACCAAACCCTGGCTTGAGGCCCAGCAGTTCTGTGTGGATCGCGGGGCCCACCTGGTGATCATAAACACCAAAGAGGAGCAGGTAAAGCGTCCGGCCACTTGGCTGGCGTTCCCCGCCCAGGCCAGGGTGTTGGACAGCTACCCAGCAACACCAGCAGGTTATCCCTGGTAACTCCCAGCAGGTGGGACTCAGGGAGCCCGTGAGACCAGCTGGGCCTGGCTCTTTTAACAGTCACCAGGTTTCTCAAAACTCTCCAAGGCACTGGATCCCTGCTCCCCGGCACCCCCCATGTGCTGCCTGTCAACCAGCCGCCCTGACGTAGACCCTGGCTGGTATTCCCCGCAGGGGAGGGAAAACCACCCCAAATAAGGCATGGTCTGCACTCTAAAGTTAAAGCGCAGCTGGGGCAGCACTTTAAACTGAAAGTGCGGCCATGGCAAGAGCGAGGGGAGTAGCGAGGCTTGCCAGATACTTTCACAAAAAATCCCAAACATGGCGGGGAAAAAATTGGTTAAGCAGGAAAAAAAAAAAAAAGTTACTATGCCGTTAAATTCCCGAGCTCCCCACTTCCCCTGCCCCCACCCCTGCCCCCATTAGAGGAAAAATGTCCCCGACAGTTTTCCGTCCAAAAAACAGAAAGTACCAGATATTTTACACGTCTGGTATTTTCTTTTTTTTTACCGGACAGAAGATGCAATTATTGGACTCTCCGGGTGAAAACCGGACACCTGGCAACCCTAGGAGTAGCTGACAGCTCCAGGAGTGCGGGCTCTAGTGCTGTAGCCTGTTCACACGGGCGCTTTACAGCGCTGTAGCTTGCTGCAGGTGGGAGGCGTGGGAGGGTTTCACCCCCCCGAGGCAGAAAGTTGCAGCGCAGTGAAGTGGCCATGCAGGCCTGGCCTGAATGTCTAAACCACTGGGCAAAAATTGCAACCCACAGAGACTAGACGCCAGGGGCAGAGTTTGAACTGGAGGTTTGTACAAACACCCCTCGCAGCTGGGCTGTTTCCTTAGCCCTGCCCTGGCACAGCGGCATGGACAAGGACGCCCCAGGGAGTTTTTGCAGGGAGGGGACTTGCTGAGGTGTTTCTGAGAGACCAGCCTCTGTGACTATAACACTGGCTCTGCCCTGAGCCCCAGAATCTGCCCTCTTCATTCCTCCAGGTCCCCCTTCCCAGGAGCTCAGGCCCCACCCCCTCTATTGCTCAGGGCTGAGACCACACCAGCTCATTCCAGGAAACAGCCACTTGCTAGCCAGGGACAGTTACTGCTGGGTTTGAGGAGGTAACACATCCATGGTCTTTATATTCTGAGTGCCTCATTGGCTTGCGCACCCTTGGGGGCAGGGCTACCATCTGGCTGGGGAAACTGAGTCATGCAGCAATGTAGGAACTTGACTTAGGTCACACAGGGAGTCAGTGGCAGAGCTGGGACTTGAACCCAAGGCTCCCGAGTCCCAGGGTAGTGCCCCGCCCACCAGGCCATGGCAGAGCAAACGGCTCACCCTTTCGTCGCCCTTAGTCTGTTCTTGTCTCTCGCAGGCTTTTTTGCTGAAGAATCGCGTCGTGCCCCGGGTGTACTGGCTGGGGCTAAGCGACCAGCAAGTGGAAAAGGAATGGGTGTGGGTGGATAACACCCGTTTGACCCTCAGGTGCGTGGGGTGAAAGGCTCCCTGCCCCCTGCCCCACCTCTGGCTCCCCACTGTGTTCCCCATGGAGCTCTGCTCTTCTCCACAGTTTCTGGAGCTCCGGAGAGCCCAATGACAGCAACAATGAGGACTGTGGCACCATGACCCCCGATGGGCGCTGGAACGACCTAAGCTGCCTCACAACAGACTATTGGATCTGCGAAAAGGCCTGGTTCTGCTAGCCCCAGGCGCAGCCGCTGGCCCCGCCCTTCCTGAGCCATGGGCGTGACCAGGCCCTGCCTCCTGCAGCACGCTTGTCCCGATGGCTGCGGGACAGTCTCCCCAAGTCGCGGCCTGTGGGCCTCACTCCCTGCTGTGCAGCTCACTCAGGAGTTGCTCTGAATGCCTGGGTGGGGGGAGGTATTCTTGCAGTGTTCAATGGCCACCAGGGAGTCCTGAGTTCGAGTCCCACTTGGACATCGCCTTTCCCTGTGCCTCAGTTTCCCCTTGTGATGGATATGGGCTGGGTAATTTTTTACAAGAATGTATGTGGAAAAGGGCCATACTCTTCCATGATATTAATGGAGGAGGAGCGGGGTGTGGGATGGAGGTTGGGTGGAGAAGGGAGCTTGGAGTAAGGGATTGGAGACCAGGAGGGGGCTGTGGGATGGAGTTTGGGTGCAGGAGAAGGTGCATGGTCTGGGAAGGGGTATGTGTGCAGGAGAGTAGTCTGACCTGGGGTGGGGGTGCAGGGCTTTGGGTTGTGAGCGGGCGTAGGGGATTGGGGTATAAAGTCTGGGAAGGGGCTGTGAGGTTTTTCGCCTTCCTCTGTAGCACGGGGCATGGATCTCTGTATCTTGGGGTCTTTCAACCATTATTTCAGGACTTCAGTATCTGAGATATAGGTGAGAGGATTATTCTAGGAGAGGGTGGGTGATGTTCTGTGGCCTGCATTGTGCAGGGGGTAAGACTAGATGATCATAGAGGAACCTTCTGACCTTAAAGTCTAGGAGTCTATGATACCTGGAGGTGGGTGTAGAAGGGGTGCAGGGTGTGGGAGGAGAAGTGGGTGCAGAAGCAGGGGAGCAGAGGGGTTGAGTTATGTGGGGTAGGGGTGTAGGAGGGGGGCAGAGGGTTGGGGAGGGAGGGGCTGGGGTGCCAGAGGCAGGCTCTGGTCGGGAGGTACTTACCTGGGCGGCTCCTGTCCAGCTGCCCAGCAGGTTCCTCAGCCAAGTGGGGGCCACGTGTCCTGCTCTGAACACTGGGAGTCTGGGCGAGGGAGCAGGGGTTCTTAGTG